ATCATGCAAATTTATCCCGTCATTTTACATATGTGCTCTTTCGCTAGCTCATTTTTGAGCAGTTAAAATCCCTAATCTAAATTCTAAGCGAATGGCTGCTGATCGTCGGAATCTCATAGGTCTACCTCATAGATCACAGTTCCAAGCGCCTTCACACGCTGATCTTTCGGTACGGTAGACTGCTGTCTGCGTCGTTCGTTGATCAATTGGAACATTTCCGCATTTGTTAGCACAGTTTGTTGCGCATCCAAAACATCCATCGTTCCGGCTCTAGCTCCTAAAAATCTCACTCAATTTCCCGTGAGCTCACGAAAACTTTCGAGGAACTACACTCGCTTATGAGATCGATCACCAACCAGTTCAGAAAACACCAAATGCAAACTTCTATCTCCACTATATCAAATGATTACTCTAAAAAAACAGATTTTTCCCTACAAACAATTCACAAACTTTTTCATAATAGAAAAACTTCTTCACCTTTGAAACGTCAAACTCCCAAAAAAGTCCAAAAAAATGTCGTCCTCACAAAAACATAAAAATTCACCATATCCAGCATCGAAAATAAATTAACTCTACCAATCTATTAGCATATTACTGCCAACGAAAGAACTGCTGCTGCTAAGCAGTGTCTTAATAGATATAACAGATAAATAAGGCTGATTGATGACTAAGTTAAGTTTTTTGAAGAGTGATCAAACACTGGTCTAACAATTGAATGTCGAGAAACATTCACACGTCGACAAATGCTTTTTTCAAATAATTTTTTATTCTTTTTCGAACGATAACATTCACAAATTCACAAATTTTCAAATGGCATAAATAATTTAAATGTAATATATAGAATATATGTATATTATTTACACGTAAAACAATATTTTTTCTCATTAAATCATCGTCATCATTTTAAAACTGGCGAATATGCACACAAACACACGAAAAATCGCTCACACAACACATAAATGACCATCGAACAAACAATCAAAAAAATTAAGCGAAAACAATGATGAATGCGAAAATACTATTTTTCATTCATAAATTCATGTGGAAAACATATGAAAGTCTACGAAAAATATTTCAACAAACAATCCAAAAATTACAATTTCTTTTATTATCGAACAAAAACTTATGGTCCTGAATGATTTCTCAAATGATCCTGGATGAAAATTTTTCGTCCTTCGTTCAAGCAAACCATTCAGGTTTCCGATTTCTTAAAGTTCAATTTCGATAAATTTTTCAAGAAAATAAAAATTTAGACCACAAACGACCCAACCACCACAACCGTTCCAATGGGTTGTGATTCATAGAGAATAAGTCGGAATAACAGAACAAGAACAACCAAAATCATTGACAGCAACAATAATAAACAAAAATCAAAAGGATAACAACTGAAATGAGCATTTTACCATTTGAGATTTATGTCAAACGCGTGCACAATTACACATTCACATAATAAATACATACACATATTTACATATGAAAATGACTAATGCAGACGAATTCATAATCATAAGAAATTTGGACAATTCAATAAAGCAAATGAAACGAAGAGATTTATTATTAGACGAAACTTCTTTTGCAAAAGATTTCCTCTCTGCTCTAACTCAAATTTTCTCCTTTCTTGAATCACATAGGCCTTTCGAAAGTCAGCAACGCGAACACTCGTCATTTCGATCAGTTCGGCAACTTATTAGTCTCAATCCCCTGGTCAATCCCGTCACTCGACTGATGGTCCATAACTAGTCTTGAAATATCACTGGAAATTTGTTAGCTTAACTGAAGTGCCCAATTTCCTCCACAATCGAAAATTCGCATTCTCCGACAAATGCAACCGAACCTAACCAAAAACAAACCTTTACCCAATTTCTTCGTTTGATTCCCACACAATCTGGTCGTTCTTTAATTGTCATATAGGAAAAATTCCAATTTTGCTACCACAAACAAATCTCTTGAATACTTGATCGCCGGAGAAGACAACAAAAGAAATTACGAATGAGAAGTCACAACAAAGTTGACGAAAATAACAGAATTCAAAACAAAACAACAACAAAAGTATAAATCTTTTCACAAATACAACAGCAGTTCCGGACAACAGATGCAAACGAGAGCAAAACACAGTTGGGAGAGAGCGAAGAAATTCACAACGCGTAAATCTCAAAACATTTTAAATTACTGAGAAAATTTCGAGAACGAAAAAGAAGAAACATCCACAGGAACACCACAAAAGAAGAACGCATGATCAAAAGAAGTTTTCTCACATATACTCATTCACGAAGATCCATCTTCGAATAATTAACTGTTCGAATATATGATAAAATTACACATCCATACCAAAACAAACACGAAAAATTTGATTAATACTTGCAATAATATGACAATGTTACACATTACACTCACACAAACATACACAAATACTTGACAAAAATGACAACCATTCAGCAAATTAAAACACAACTTAAAAAATTCACATCAAAAGAGTGAAACAAATTGATAGCCTGACACCAGAGACTTTAGTACATCAATTAACAGTTCAATAGTTTAATACTTCCAATTACTAAAAGAACGAAAAAAAATCATTAAATAAACATGGATTTATAATGGATTCATTCATAATATCTATATGTTATATACATATATTTATATATTTAGATTCAATACATACTTATACATATTCATAAGATTTGTATATTCTTGATGTGCATGTACAGAATGCATATATAATATGATATATGATTGATCCATGATCAGCATTCACATGAATCAGTAAAACTGTTAGAAATATTAACGAGAATAATGTATAAAAACGTTTTCGAGACTATTTATATTATGCATAATTACACGGAATAATACTTAAGATTTTGATTGTTTGATTGCATGAATTCGGCATGCAAATCATCAGCATTATTCGACTTTGACCATCATTTTACCAATGTTCTTACCTCGCATCATATCCACAAACGCTTCAGGTGCACGTTCCAGGCCTTCATAGATTGTTTCTTTTACCTGAAATGACAACAAATTCCACAAATAACGCGTCCAAATTTCATTTCTGACAATAAATTTGCTATGAAGCAAATGATTTTATGATGACCATAATAATACTGCTGGTGCTGCTGAGAAGAATAAAAATAAATAAACACTAGTAATAATGATTATCTTATTAAGATAATGAAAAAATTGAAATAGCATAAACGAATAAATCAAAGACATACTTTCAATTTTTTCTCTTGTAACCATGTAGATAACTGTGCTATTGTTGAGTCCAAGTCATCTTTATATGACAGCACAATGTAACGTTCTCTAAAATTGGATATTTCACCAATTGTTAATATTATTACTGATATTACCCCCTTCAGCTTCAAAAAACCACAAATTCC